GGGGGGGGGGGGGGGGTGAGAGAGATTGTTGAAAGGTAATGCAATAATTCAACACGTGATTGCAAGAAAAGAAAACACTCAATCTAGATTCAGCAAAGATTTTATCCGAACTATAGATGTTTGAAAATTTCAATGAAGTGCAAGAACTAATCAGGGAACCCATTGACAGACCATGGAATTAAGCTCGTGATTTCAAGTCCAACCATCAAATATATTTTACATTTGCCTAATGAAACTACATCACAAAGCATACTGTTGGACAGCATCTTTAGTAAGAAATCTAGAGGAACCATGGCCAGATATATAGACATGACAAGAGAAGCACTTGTTGTACATAACACTGCTAACATTGGTCCTCACGAACAGGGGCAAAGCTAGCTCTTTGGTTAGGGGTTCGACCGAACCCCAGTAGCTTTGATCCAAACCTTGTATTTGTCTAAAATATCCATTAAAAATATATAAATTATTAGAACCCAATAACTTAAAAGGACTATAAGCCTGAACTCATAAGCTTCAAATTCTTACTCGGCCTCTGCTCATGAATGGGTGAAAATGTTAAGTTGTATGTCCCAAAAAGCCAAGGAAACTAACCACCCTGTGACCATCTATCTCAGCTGTACCGGCTGAGAACCCTGGCAGCCCTAGATTTCTCTCGCTATGAATGGTGATTCTCTTCAAGGTTCGTTCCATTCTGAGAAAGATGCAACCCCCTGCAAAGTTTTGGAAGTTACTGTGAACGACCATTTGAAACTTTTCTTGATGACCGAGTTTAACCACCAAGCTGCATTGGAACCTCTCTCTTAAAGATCAGTGGATAACATAATTCACAGTAGGCGTATTATTTTCAGACCAGAGCTTCCAGCACCATTAGCAACTAAAATATTACTATAATTAGTGACTGAATCTGTCTTCTTAAACCCAGCATCTGAGAGGGATATTTGAAGTGCTGAACCTTCTGCACTGAGGCACTTCTTCGAGATGTGCTGGTAGTCTAGTAATGAATTATGGTGATACAATGGTCAGCTCTTCTCCATGTATATTTACATGTATTGTACAAAGCATCTCATAAATGTTTAAACAAAAATCATTGAGTTTTCCCGTAGAGTCTGATGTCATTGCTGGCTGTCCAATGACTATCAATAGACTCAACCCCCTCCCACCCAAAAGCGGCAGAAAAAAATAAAGACTCTATGAAATGCCTTCAATAAATTCTTGAACAATGAAAATGGCCAAAACCAGCAAAGACCAAAGCAGCTAGAACTTTAATCAAATACTAGATATAATTGATGTTGATAATATGCCAGCTATAGCAAACCGTTTCACTAGGTCAAAGGGCAGGATGTCGAGAAAACTGGGCAGAATATGATGCATGAAGTCTGGCTATTATCGTTTTGTGATACGAAAATAACTTTGGGGTGTTTGATCACTATCATATGTTAGTTACTTTATATAAGAGGTTTGTAGGAGGCCATAAACCTTTTATATATTTCTCATTTTGGGAAACGCATTAGAAATATTCAGATATTATCTCACTGGCCTCGAACTTAACATTTTCTGCTTCCACTACATATGTTTTGTGGAGAAAGCAGCAAAAACTGCCATTAAGCAATTCAAGAAAAGCATATGCTGCCCAGGTTCTTTCTCGGTCCCAACAGCTTAAACAACAAGTGTCTGCTGCCTGACGACAAATAGGTTCTAGATGGACTCTTCTAATACAAGAAAGGAAGCTTCTGTGTGATTATGTGGAAGCCCTGAGGTGCGAAGAAGAATTGTGCAAGGCCAAGGCCACAAATAAATGGTAACCAGTTGCTGATGCTAATGATGCTTTTTTTTACAAGGTAAAATTTTATAGAAAAGGTACCAGCTTGTATAAAAGAATTACATAATTCATACAAAGATCAACCAGACAAGCTAGAATTTCCATGTATTGTGCCAAGCTAACTGCTTTTTTTTTTCTCAGACGATTAACTCAACATAGAGCAAGGAGTACATTTATCAGGAGACATGATCAAAGAGGGAGGGCGATCACTAAGTACAATTGAGCAGTAGGAGTGTCTACTCACATTTGTTAGTGAAGATGAAATTTATAACACACTGCTAAGTGATTGATGACTAAGCATAAAGCTCCACGCCGTGATGGTTTTACAGCAGAATTTTACCAACATAACTGGCTCACAGTGAAGGCAGAGGTAAATTGCATCTTTCAACAACTTTTTGTAATCATTAGCAGAGAGCTATCTGCTGCTCTTAATTGTACCACTATTATTCAGTTCCTAAGGTGAAGACATTACAAGGACTTCCAGCCCGTATCAGGAATGAAAGTCATTCAGACACTGATTTTCAAGATTATTACTAAGCGATTGAAACCGCTCATGACATCTTTCATCAGTAATTGTCAGAATGCTACTGTGTAAAGAAACAGCATTACAAATAATATGCAGAATTACCATAAAATGATGGGAAACCTAGGTCCAATGAAGGAGGACATAGCTCACGGCTCCAAGCTTATGATAAGAAAATTGTTTATTTTTTTCGATGGATGTACTCAAAGCTTTTGGCTTTGCAGCATTACAGATAATATGCAGAATTACCATTAAAATCATGGTAAACCTAGGTGGAATCTAAGTTGCGGACTCTTCGTTTTTGGTGCCGCACCAGTCTCGACACGGGAGGGGAGCGGGTGCGGGAACGGGATACGTCCCGGATTCGGTCAACTAACTTCGGACACTTTGACCCGAGCCCATCGACAAATTTGGGAGGAAATTGAGATTTTGATTTCTCAAAATTAAAAATAAAACATATTTAAGACATGCGAAATGGCATACCTTCAATATTATAGTACTTTTATCTCATATTTGCAGCTTTGTGCTCCAAAAAAACCATGAATTCAAGGGGTCGTGTTCTGAGTTCGGACTTATAGATCTATTTTTTATAAATTTGAATTTTTTTTGCCGAATCCCCACACCCGTATCCATACCTAGGATCCGCACCCCCCGAATCTTAAAATTTAGATTTTGCTGAATCTGACACTCGGATTCGTGCCCGTATCGAATGCCCGCACCCGAGTCCGAGCAACTTAGGGTAGAATGAAGGTGGACAGAGTTCACGGCTTCAAGCTTATTCAACTGTTTATTCTTAATGAATGTACTCCAAGCATCTTTTGGCATTTCCCATGAGGTCACCTCCCGAATAAAAGTCTTTCTCCATCTTATCTTATCAAAAAATAAATAAATAAAGTCTTTCTTCACAATGCTAAGTCCTACATGAACTTAAACGGTTCCTTAACCCCTCCACCCTCCGGAGGGGGGGTGGGGGGAGGTTGAGTTAAGGAGATTCTATACCTCCTTACCTGTTCCACTCGCCGTTGAGGTCCTCACATGTTTGTTCAACACAAATATTGCTCAGCAGGAATTTAATTTCCTCCCTACATTGCACATGTTTTTTGTGGGTTGTCTCTTCATTGGTGTTTGCTGTTAATGAGAAGTCCACCCATACTCCTTGTCAAACAAGTTGTTGATCAATTTGGAAACCTGGTTTATTCCTAATATGCCAAAAAGTGCTAAAGATTTTGCTGGCTTACCTGTTGATGATACTAAAAGATCAGCCATTGGTGGGTTTCAAGAGGCACATTGTTCCTGTCGACTATTAGGCACCTCACTTATCTCTTCCGAGCTGGATCAAACATTGCATAAAGCTTGCAGAGAAAATCTTAGGTAGAATACGAACTTGATCAAATACGGAATCCAGAGTGACTAAAGACGCTAAGCTTGTTTTGTTTGGTATCAACACATATTGGTTTAGGCTCTTCATATTGCCTAAAAAGAAGCAGGTTATCAGAGCTATCTCACAACTGTTCCAATAATACTGCTATTCTTAATCAAATTTGGAATATTTCTGAAAAGGATTCTTAGTGCAATTAATGGGTTCAGTGTTAACTTAGAATAAGAATTTTCGGGTAGTCTCAGATCCTCATAATTGCTCATGGCGTTAAATCCTGCAACTAGAGTACTAGACTTTTTATTCATTATCAAATTGCACATGATTGTGATATTTCTGTATGCTATAATTCTTCGCATTCTTTAGGACCATGGCATGAGGTTTTCTCTCCTAATTGCTGCAACTGTCATATTTGACTCTAAAATAACCGATTTGACTGTGGAGTATGGGCGGCATTAACCAACCAGAATCAGAGAAATGCTCAACTAGTCAACTTTGGTGGAGCTTCTAACGGTTCATTTACCATCAATAATGCCATAAAGCAGAGGCCTCTAACTTGGGCTACAGTGCTTTGTTTCGCAATACGGATTTCAAGGATGGATTCATTCTTTGGCTTGCTATTCTAGATAGACTTAAGCATTACTCAAAAGTTGAAAATTGTGGACACTGAAAGTTGTTTGTGTAACAAACACCCTGAAAATGTACCCATCTGGCAGCATCTCTTACAACAGAGGTTAGTACATAGAGATATTTGCCTTTGGCCGGAGAACTCAATTGGTTGATTCGAGTACTAAACGGAGAGAACTGTGCAGCTGTATCCTGAAGTACTCTTCCAGTGGCAATTTACTTCCTATGACAGGAGTGGAAGGAATTGAAGAGTGCTTCAAAATTAAGCTCGTCCAACTACAACCCCCTTTTATCTGTGATCCAAGAGAAATTGAGTACTTGCCACAAATCTAGAACTAGAGATAAGTGGGAGATGAACTAAAGTTTGGGCTTTCCTCTACACATTTTCAATCTGTAAAGAGTATCCAGTCGGAGCTCCATGGTATTTATTTGTGCGTGTGAGAGAGATAGAGCGTAGTAAACTACCAGTTCAGACCACAATGCCTCACGGAGGACAAAATTGAGCAATCTTTTGGTGTATAGCAGCATGTAAATTTCTACCATGTCTAGAATTATATCAACAATGGGATATTAAAAGTGTAAAGCAAGAATTGGTTATACAAGAAAAGAGAGGGAAAGAAAGAAACATACTGTTGTTGAAAGCCCCCACAGACTTGGAAACAGCTACTGTCTCCTCCCTTATTCTGGTTCCTCAAATGAGGAGTTGAAGACCCTCTACCATGAAAAGTGCTGGACAGTGAAGACTGCAGAAATTAACGGTCGCTGACGCTGAGGAACAGTGTAATCAGCACTGGTGCACTTGGAACACTGCTTCTTCTTCACTTGCAAAATGAATGGTGCACATGGGGGCCCCGATATTATCCTCCAATATATTTTTCCTAATGGGATCTGAATTACTATGATCTTACTGTTTCCCATGAACATAAAGCCAACCAACAAATACATAAGCTACTGTTTTCCTTTTTTATTTTTGGTCTCAGAAAAGAAAGTCATTTCTAAAAGTGTATATGGAAATTAAGATATTAAACTTAAAATTTTACATGTAAATGAAAATTAAATTTAGTAGTGTTAGAAGCTTTTATTTGATCACTATGATAAAACTTTTTCTCGACATATATAATTTCCACCGTTAATTTCGTTTATTCACTGAAAAACTATATGAGAAGTACGTATAATCCATTTTTTGGGCAACGCCCATCTTTATTATTGTCCAGTAACTCCAGTTATTGCCAAGGAAACTGTCCAAGAAAAGCATGTTAGACCAAATTCTTCCAGAAACTTATCATTCTTTCTTTTAATAAATAAATCCCCCCTCCTCCCACCTTCCCAACAATAAATAAAAACGAAAACGAATTCTCGGATATGCTTAATGCATGAACATCACACCAAAAGTGATTAAAAAATTTACAGCTCCTAAGAAAATACGTAGCTGCACACAATTCAACATGAATTAAAGATAGAATTGAATTTCTTTTCACCAGACAGACATTAGACCCATAAATATTATTCCCTTCATCTGTAACGCCCCGCCGTGCCAGTGTATATGACTATCTACTTTAGCTAAACCTAAAGAAAGGAGGACCATCTCTTTTATTCTAACTGCCAAATCAGAGGCAGACTTTTTTCCTGTAATTAGTAACTTCAAGGCTGAAGGTACTGACAAAGTATAAATACAATCTAAAGTAAACTTTATAAAGAAAAAGGAAAACCAGAAAAAGACAAGATAGGACAAAGTCTAAGTATGTTGCAACAAAATTCATCTCTTGTATTTATGGAAACAAAGATTTTGTAATCATTTGGTACCATCACAAAAGATTGATCGTACAGCAGCCTTAAAATCTTCATAAAACCTTTGCTCTGAGAACATGGAGGCTCGCTTCCTCGCAGCAGCAGCTATCTCCAGCCTCTCATTCTCTGGCATCTTAATGACTTCAATAATGGCTTCAGCATATTCCTCTATGCTCTGGGCAAGGAACCCAGTCTGCTTCGAATCTTCTGGTAACACAATATCCATCCTTGGGCCAGCTGAATTATGTGCTGAACGAAACCGACAAACTTGAAGTCAACTAAATAAGTCATATACTCAAACACAGAACAAGAGAGAAATCACACAACATGACTAACCAATTGGTATCGCGCCAGCAGCCATATATTCAACTACACTTATGCCAAAGTGCTCATCTGTCATGGAATGGATTCCGGCTACAGCACCACCCAAAAGTGTGACCAAATCACTGCACCAACCAAGATTAAAAAACAAAAATGAAGATTTTTCACCATGGTAATCATGTATTAAATTGATGGAAATGGATAATCTACCTAAACATTTCACATTCTATGTCTAAACACAGAGCTAACAGAATTACCAAGATATCCAATCCAGTGGGGTAAGCAATTTACACCCATGCATAAATATATTTCCTCTTTGTGTATTACATTGCCCGAACACCCGATCAATTTTTATTTATTTTTTCAAAAAACATTTCCTCTTTTTTCTTTATTTTTTCCGGGGAGAGGGGTAGCCAAGGCAATAAAACGTCCATCCCTAATGAAACCCTTACCTTGAAAGTTATAGGTTCAAGCAATTAAAGAAAAGTTGTGGTACTAAAAATTCAGTAAAATCATGCCTTGGAGTTTAAGAATTTCAGACAAACAAAAATGGAGTTGTACCACTAACCTGTACATGACATTCTTGTGGAACTCAACATGATCATCCACATTCAGTTTAATAGCTAGGTCCTTCAGATTTTGCAACCTTTTCTCATCTGCTTCATTCCTACAACTACCCACTAATTGGATAATCGGCCTTGGCAGATTTTGGTCTAACTTCTTGATGGCAACTGCAAATGCCTCAAGTTGGAGAGGGTGTGCCTAACTCACAGAAAAAACAAATTTTACAAGAGTTCAATATTGCAATATACCTTGAAACACCTGCAAAAGCATGGGTACCTTGATTTCTACAAGGACCACACAAAAATGCCCACCTTCTCTGGACGGAACTGAGCCACAGATACTATCTTCGGAGGCTTCATTGACTTTTCCAGCGGAAGCGCCTGTCAAGAGCAGTGTCAAGTTTTTTGTTTATATTTGCCATGCAAAAATGCAATTCCTTACCATCCAACTCAGACTGAACAGAAGAATTAATAAGAGCTTCTAAAAAAGGAATACAGTAATATCATTTCCCTCAATTTTCAACAAAATCAAGAGTCATGAAAGTCCAAATAAGGATTGAGAGGAGAAATTTGTCTGAAAGTTACACTCAGTCCTACTTTCGTCAAATACTTCATTAATGCAAAAATGAAGGACAGCACTATAGTAAAATTATTAACCAACTTACTAATTTAATCAAATCTACAGAAAAGAGGGAAAGCATTAAAAACTTTAGGCGTCAGGAGGAGGAAGAAGGGTTATATTAACACCAAAAGAGTTAAGAATACAGACCTGAAGCCTAGAAGTATCACAAGGAGGATACACGCGCCTTATTCGAGCTGGTATTCCCCACAGCTTCTCAATATGAGATTGGGTCCATGAAGAATTAACCATCGCTAGGTGTGCACAAGAACCGACAAAGCTGTACAGCCAGCTAAACAACGTATAATAAACAACCTTGAACCGGGATAGTATCGCACTGCCAGAAAAGCAATTTCATGAGCTTCATGCACAGATACAAGCGGAGAAAATGCAAAGACATTACAATCTTATCATATTCAGTCCCTTTGGATATATAATTTCAGAAGACCCACTAATGCATCTAGATGTACACTTTACTGGAGAAGCGGAATAACATCTTGCCATTATATCTTCTTACGACTGCCAGTTAGTGAATGACCACATTAATTTGGTAAAAAGATATGCATACATGTCACAAGGTCAACTGATAAAATTGTTAATATTAGAAGGCAAAGAAAAAAGACACAAGCAGATCAACAGTTTCTCATACGGGCCTTTGGCACCACTTAAGTTGACAGACAATGACAAAGGCTCGCCAAACTAAGCATGGCCTTTTTCTTTTTGTTTGAATAGCCCATTCTCATTTTTCTTCAACAAGGTAGACCAACGCTTAGGTGCTTAGTAACAGAAACTTCCATCAAAATGACTAATTGAGTACCTCTTGGCAATCAAGGAATCATTGTTGTACATTGAACTGCGCCCACGAACACGAGATAGCATGTCTAAACTGATAGTTGGATAATGAGTATAGGAAAAAACTTTGCATCCAAATACACGGGCAACTGGATAAGTAAAAGCATATCCACTAGTATCAAAGTAATATAAGGGTGTATATTTGCACAAAGCTTCCCAAGAAAGGTAAATCGATCCAAAGCTTTGACCAATCATTGTGAAACGAGGGTAAGTGGTTTCTTCGACCCACTTTCTCCTATGCAGATGGACCACCTGATGTAAACTGCAGGAAATCAGTAATCTTGAGCAAAATGACATCGAATGCCAATATATTGAAGTTTCGAAAGAACAACTACACTATTCAGCAATTATCTGGACAGGGTATTATATGTGTTTGTGATTAACACCGTCAAACATATACCAGTAATAAAGCATCAAAAAGAGGAATATAAGATGCAGCAATACAGGTAAAAGGGGAAGAAGGAATATACAATACAGATATCTCAAAGCACCTACAAACTAACATAAATAAATTTTAGAATTCAAAACAGATTAGAAGTGTATTCCTGGTGCTACAATAAAGAATATTGAGGAGGATTTCAATGCCTTATCAGGGATAGAAGAAGCACAAAGACTACGTGATACTGTTGAAATTAGTGTTGTCAAAGGCAAAAAGCGTTCAAAAGCGTTCTAGGTCTATCGGGGATTTAAGTGCAAAGCGCAACTAAAGTGTGAGCTTTAGTTAAAAAAGGCACAACGGAGGAGAAAAAAATACATATTTAATGCGAGAAAAAAGTAACAACTTTATTCAAAATGATTTACTTAACAATTAATATATCTTCTTGCCAATCATATTAATTGTTTACTAGCGCTCTATTCAAGATAGAATTAATGGGCAATGAGGCGTACGCCTTAGTGCCTTGCCTAAACTGAAGCGCAGCTTAAGTGAGGCAAAGTGCCTAGCCCGAGCTTCTATGAGCTTCAGGGCCTAAGCGCGCCTCAAATGAGCATTTGACGACCTGGGAGTTCCCTTGACACTAATGATGGAGCTTGGGCGTGGGTATGGGGAGGGGAGGAAGATGAAGAAACGGGAGCAAATGTGAAAAAAGGAAGTTGTTTGTTTAGCTAAACAGAAAGCAAATGTGACAACATTTTATTTTGTGACTTAATGATTGATAGTATTCTAGTTTAATACTACATTCACAACTTTTAAGAATTTAAATTCGTTATACTTTCAAACTTTGTGACATTTCTTATCAAAGTATAACTTTTCAACCATCACTTTGATATTATTCCATTGTCGCTGATAAAATATGCAAGTCAAATAAATATCCCTAGAGTTCATTTCAAGTCAAACACTATCATGAAAAATGAAATAACGGAAATAATATCATGTACGCAGAGAAAAACACACCGAGAGGGTACCTTAGGAGGGTGGATTAATTTGACTCCAAATCGATCAAGGGCACGGCCAGTAAGGCTGTCAGGAGAAGCATCATGATCTCCTGTATATATGACACAATCTAGATTTGGGTTTTCATCTTGGATGGCTTTCACAGCGCACCACAAGACTCGTTCTCCGCCACCTCCGTCATTGGTGTATGGGTGGAAGACCCCAACAGCCTTCTTTCTATTTCTCCAGCCATTGATTACCATTAACAATAATCTCACTGCTTGAGCAATTACCAGCGTTACGGCAATAACAGCACTGAGCATGAGCCAATATCCCATATTTCTTCCCCCTCTTGCAGTTCTCTGAAACGTGTTTTTATCAAATTACACTGCTTTCACAATAGGTTCTTGAAGTCACTGATTCTTTTGGCTTTTTTTCACTAAAATGAAATTGAAGATCCTTGACTAACACGGATTTAGCTTCTGAAATAGAATTATATCAAAAGATCAGAGGGCATAATATGCAAAAATAAAATAAACAAATAAATACATAAAGAAATAAAGATATAGATAGATATCTTAGGATCAACAAAATGGGATCCTAATAATGCAAAAAATAAATAAAGAAAAAAAGAGTTTGCAGCTAAATGGATAATGAAAAACAAATAGAAAATAAACTTAAAATTTTAAAGCTTGCTAAAATTTTGCAATAAAAAAAGGAAGACAAAGAAGACGTATGCGAAAATCACAGTGGTGGATCAAGGTGTTCGCCAAAGCAGATTCTTTTTTTTTTATAACCGTGGTAACCGGTCCAGCTTGCGCGCACCTCAACTAATTCCACGGGGTACCTGCCACCTCCCACCAACAACAGGTACCAAGTAACTCTATCTCCAAGGCTCGGATAGATGGGAAGAAATCACCTAGTATTTTTTGCCTCCGCTAGATTTGAACCTAAGACCTCATGGTTCTCACCCATTTCATTGACCACTAGCCACACCCCTGGGTGCAGATTCTATTAAGACAACAACTTCAAATCAACAACCAACAATGATTGGATCAAATTAACAACAACAACAACAAGCCCAGTGGAATCCCACAAGTGGGGTATGGGGAGGGTAGTGGGTACGCAGACCTTACCCCTAACCTTAGAGGGTAGAGAGGTTGTTTCCGGAAGAAGACCCTCGGCTCAAGAAGATGAAAAGCAACAATAGAAACAAGTAGTATCAACCACAAAGGCAAGAAAGAAAGTAACAGCAGGAAGGAAGCAATAGCAACAAGCACAAAGATGTCATATCAATAGCCCCAAAATAGTCCTAGCTGCAGAATTATACAGGTTACTAAATTTCTGATATGTGTGATGCCTTCAAAAGGCTGCAATAATTCTGATCAAGCAAGATCATTTCACCAAAGAGAGGTTCACCATATAAATGCAGCTTATATGAAAGCAAAACTTGTGTGATTACTTTGCATACGCCTTGTTGTAAAATAATTTTGGTCAACCCAATACTTGCAAATGAAATTCCATAACAAAGTAGTGTTCTCATATATAAAGGCAATGGTCGCATTTAGATTCTCACAAATGATTAGAAGCCTCCAAAGACCTTAGTCCCCTGTACCCAGTGTCCTCTTCTCAAATGAAAAGGGGAAAACAAGTAAAGAGGTTGTCCGGTGCTAGCCTGTTTTACAGTATTACGCAAGGCTGATAAACGAGTCAACTGATTTACTTTCCTGTTTTTCCAGAGAGAAAAAAAGATTATTGTTCATATAGCAAACCCACCCCCACAAAATGCATTGAAGAAAAGAATAAATAAATAAACAGGGAAACATTGTTCTCATTCGAACCTGAACAGAGCATAAGCTTTAAGAAAGGTTCTGAAAAGAAGAAGGAAGGATCACATACCATAATCATGACAGCCAAACTTCTTGTATAATTTGTTCTGTCCAGCCAGACTTCAGAAGTACGACTCTTTAACCAAAGAACACATCAATTAAAATACCAACGTGGAGTCCATGTCACTATTTTTTTAATAATATTTTTTAAAATAAATAACTAAATCCACTTAAATCTAATCACCCACTTAAATTTACAAAACACCATTGCTGAAAATACAAAATCTTAGCATAGAAAATTCCGGAAACCAAAATAATACAAAGCCTCCAAATTTATTCCTTTAACTAATCTTTCTGCAGAAACTCTTTTTTTAGATAAATCACAATGATGGCAAAAAATTGCAGGAAGAGTGGGATCTTTACCGTTAAGAAAGAGAACCCAAAAGCCGCTTCAAAGAATCTTCGCTAGGCATCAAAGATTTACAAGTGAAATCTTGGACTTAACTCCCTTCATTATAGTAGTAATTTTCCGTATGGGGTTTTAGAGATGGCTGTTGTAAATTACAATATGGACTAATTGAAAAATATAAAGAAAGATACCAAATAAAATCCCTGGAGAAACTTCAGCCAAAGTCTTGTACCGGAAGCCTCGATGAACAAATTGACTGACTGAAATGCTCTACCTTTGCCGCTACCTGAAGTAATGATTTATGGAAGAAGGTTGGTGGAAGGCGACTGATTATAGGAAGAAGTTGATATCTGGGTATTTTATTTGGTGGCTGTCAAGGGAGGAAAATAACAAGCAAAATATATTTTCAGAAAAGTAATTTTCTCCAAATTTCTTTGTTTTTATTCTAGTCATTACAAATATCTCTTTTTTAATCCAAATAAAACTAAATAATCTATCAGAAAAACTCGAATTTGGAGATTTTATTTGAACTTCTGAATACTTCACTCTTGATAAGATAATCACTAAAAGTCGCCAAGCAACAAATTCATAGGAAAATAAAAATTTATGACCTAAAAAGCAAAATCGACATTTTTGTTGATAACCGTAGTGTCCAGGCCAACTTGTGCGCACTACCACGAGTTACATGGGATACCTGTTGCCTCCCACTAGATCAGGTATTAGGTAACTTTGTCCACCAAGGCTAACAGACGGGAAGAAATCACTTAGTATTTTTTGTCTCCGCTGAGATTTGAACCTTAGAGTTCATGGTTCTCAACCCAATTCATTGACCACTAGGCAACACCGTTGTGTGCAGAAGCAAAATTTACATAATGAGTATAGTATTACTTATTCAGGAAGTCCGTAACTCTCATAATTTACTTATCTAAACCATCCATGATTATCAAATAATACGTTCAAATTCATTTAAACTCCAATGTGAAGTTACTTAAAAACTGCTGTAAGCTAAGAAACATGAATTTCACTAATTAAATGACAAAGAACGTCTTCTGTAACCCATAACAAATTATCAAATAGAAATTCACTGTAAGTTCGTAAATCACAACTACCAAATCACTTTCACAAAATCAGAGTATTCAATGTTCCTTAATCATTCTCCAACTGAAAAAAAACGAAGCAAAAACTCAAAAACAAAAGAGAAGATCAAGTAAAATAGTTAAGAAGAGAGAAGAGAAGAAGAAGATACCTAGGCGAAGGTCGCACTAGCAGTAAGAGCGAGCCGATCGGCGGTTGTGATCCTGGTGGAGACTGTATTGAACCAGCAACTTTGGAAAACAGGTAAACTGTCAAAAATGCCCTTCTTACACTTAATAAATCACAAAACTTGCCGCTAACTTATTTTTAGTATAAAAAATGCATCCCCTATTCTACTTCCTGTTATAAATATATTATATTATTGATATTCATTTAGTACTTCGTTAAAAATAAGTTTCCTAAAAAAACTTATCTATATGAGATTTCGCCGTAAATGTTTATCTATTTAGTACTCTATTGAAAATAAGTCTCCTGAAGAAGCTTATCCTTTCAATACCCCGTTATGGATAAACATCACACCCGGTAGAAGATTATCTATATCTGGTATAATGAGCTTATCCTTTCGGTACTCCGTTATGTATAAACATTACCATCGGTAGAAGATTATCTATATCTGGTATAATGAGCTTATCCTTTCGGTACTCCGTTATGTATAAACATTACCATCGGTAGAAGATTATCTATATCTGGTATAATGAGCTTATCCTTTCGGTACTACCCGGTAGAAGATTATATATATCTGATACAATGAGCTTATTCTTTCGGTACCCCGATATGGATAAACATTACTACCGGTAGAAGATTATCTATATCTAGTATAATGAGCTTATTCTTTCGGTACTCCGTGATGGATAAACATTACCCCCGATAGAAGATTATCTATATCTGGTACAGTAGCAGCTTACACAGTAGCTTGCAGAAGCAGCTTACACAGCAGCTTGCTTTCTTCTATAAATAGAGGAGATTTCAGTTCATTATGTACATAAGTTTAAAGTTTGAATAATATATCGGTTTCTCTATATACTTGTCTTTACTTTACAGTCTTTATTTTATAACACGTTATCAGCACGAGACATTGCCATCTCGAGCAAATACTTTGAATGTATCAGAGATACGAACTTTCTTTTTCTAAATAATGTCAAATTTTTTAAAATTTGAGTTTGTAGCCCTGGATATATCGGGCAAAAGTTACATGTCTTGGGTGCTTGATGCTGAAATTCATCTTGATGCGATGGGTCTGGCAGACGCCATTATGGACAAAAATCAAGCATCAAACCAAGACCGTGCCAAAGCAATGATATTCCTACGCCATCACCTTAATGAAGGCTTGAAAATGGAATATCTCACTATTAAAGATCCAGTCATACTGTGAAATAATTTAAAATATAGATATGACCACCTGAAAATGGTCGTTATTCTACAGGCACGTTATGATTGGACTCATCTAAGGCTACAAGATTTTAAATCTATCAGTGAGTATAATTCTACTATGTTCAAAATTATTTTTCAATTGAAACTATGTGGTGATAATATTACTGATCATGATATGTTGGAGAAAACTTTCACCATTTTTTATGCCTCGAATATGCTCCTGCAGCAGCAATATCGAGAGATGAGATTCAAAAAGTATTTTGAACTTATCTCACATTTTCTTGTAGCCGAGCAACATAATGGGCTATTAATGAAAAACCATGAAAGTCGACCTACTAGTTCTTGTCCATTCCCTGAAGTGAATGAGACGAACTTCCACCAAGCTAAGCGTAGAAGATAACGTGGCCCCAGTCGTGGTCATGGCCGTGGTCGGGGAAGAAACTTTAATCATGTTAATAATAATGCATCAAAGAATCCTCCTCATCACCAGCAGTGGAAAAGGAAGGAACAAAAGCATGAAGCGGTGCAAGCAGCAAAGCCAGAAAATACATGTTATAGATGTGGAGGAAAAGGGCACTGGTCACGTACATGGCATACGTCAAAGCACCTGGTTGGGCTGTATCAAGCCTCCCTGAATAAGACAGAGAAAAATGTTGAAGCAAATTTTATTTCTGAAGATAATTTAGATTTCATGCATTTAGATGTAGCTGATTACTTTGTACTCCAGGAATGAGAAACAAGTCGTGTGATCGGTGATGAATTTGTAGAGATGTAAATATTTTAATTTTTGTTGTTTGTAGTAGATAGTATGGTTATGTAATTATTGTACATAAATAAAAGTTATGATTTAATAATGATGTTTACTATCATATTTATTTTGTTTATGTCATTTTGAAGAATATGGATAATCCTCAAATTATGTTTGGATCAAAGACCAATCATGAAGATATTTGTGTAATTGATAGTGGAACAACTCATGCCATATTTAAAGATCAAGAATACTTTTCTTATTTTCATAAGGAAAAAGCAAATGTTTCAATAATTTCTGGTAATATAAGTTTAATTGAAAGCTCCGGAAGAGCCACTATATTTCTGTCTAAGGGAACAAAACTTATAATAGACAATGCATTATTCTCCTCTAAGTCCAGAAGAAACTTGCTGAGTTTTGTAGATATCCGCCGAAATGGGTATCATGTTGAGACGATAGATAAAATGAATATGGAATATATTTGTATTACAAAGAATGTTTATGGCCAGAAGTGCATTGTAAAAAAGTTACCAACTTTATCTTCTGGCTTGTACTATTCAAAGATTAGTACAGTTGAAGCACACTCTATCGTAAACCAGAAGTTTACTGATTCAAATATTTTTGTGCTTTGGCATGGCCGTTTGGGCCATCCTGGATCAATAATGATGAGACGAATTACTGAAAATTCGAATGGACATCAATTAAAGAACCTGAAGATTCTTACAAATAATGAATTTTCTTGTGATGCTTGTTATCAAGGCAAAATGATCACTAGACCATCACCAATGAAGGTTGGCATTGAATCTCCTGCCTTTTTAGAACGTATACATGGGGATATATATGGACTTATTCACCCACCAAGTGGGTTGTTTAGATATTTTATGGTCCTAATAGATGCATCTTCAAGATGATCTCATGTGTGCCTACTATCATCTCGCAATCTAGCGTTTGCAAAGCTATTAGCCCAAATAATTCGATTAAGGGCACAATTCCCAGATTATCCTATAAAGGCTATTCGCCTTGATAATGCTGGAGAATTCTCATCTCAAGCTTTTGATGATTATTGTCTATCAATTGGGATAAAAGTTGAACATCTTGTAGCTTATGTTCATACTCAAAATGGTCTTGCATAGTCATTTATTAAACGCCTGCAATTGATAACAAGACCACTGCTTATGAAAACAAAATTGCCCACTACTATTTGGGGCCATGCTATCTTGCATGCAGCATCACTTATCCATCTCAGACTGACACATTATAATAAATATTCTCCGTCACAATTAGTTTTTGGTCATGAACCAAATATTGCCCATTTGCGAATTTTTGGATGTGCTGTATATGTGCCAGTAGCACCACCACAGCACAGTAAGATGGGCCCGCATAGAAGATTAAGAATATATGTTAGGTTTGAATCACCCTCTATTATTCGCTATCTTGAACCATTTTCGGGAGATTTATTTACTGCTCGATTCGCAGATTGTCGGTTTGATAAAATAAATTTTCCACAATTAGGGGGAGAGAAAAAGGAAATCAAAAGAGAAATTGTGTGAAAAGTTTCATCATTATCCCATTTTGATCCACGCACCCCTATATGTAATCAGGAGGTCCAAAAGATCATCCATTTACAAAATATAGCAAATCAAATGCCAGATGCGTTTACTGATTTGAAAAGGATAACTAAGTCACATATCAATGCAGAGAATGTGCCTATCCGAATTGATGTCCCAACAGGACCATCTACTAGCATGACAACTAGTGAACCTAAAGCACGCCTGAAGCGTGGTAGACCTTTGGGTTCTAAAGATCGAAATCCTCGAAAAAGAAAAACAACAAATGATCAAAACGATACTATGAAGGGATACCCTGAAGAGACCCAAGATCTGGTTAGTTCCGAGATTCCTGAAGAAATCAATGAACCCGAGACTCAAGTGAGTGAGAAGCTTTTAATAAGTTCTACTTGTGAAGGTATTAATTTAAATCGATCTAAAATAGTGGTAGATAATATTTTTGCATATAATGTTGCACTTAACATTATGCAAGATAGTGAGGTTCTTGAACTCCGATCTGTCGAAGAATGTCGACAAAGATTTGATTGGCCAAAATGGCAAGAGGCAATTTAATCAGAATTGAACGCACTTGCTAAAAGAGAGGTCTTTGGACCAGTAGTCCAAACACCTGCTGGTATAAAATTAGTTGGTCATAAATGGGTTTTTGTGCGAAAAATGAATGATAAAAATAAAATTGAAAGATACAAAGCTCGCCTTGTCGCACAAGGATTCTCACAACGACCTGTAGTCGATTTTGATGAAACATATTCACCTGTTATGAATGCCATAACATTTCGATATCTCATCAGTTTAGCACTACATGAAAAGCTTGAAATACATCTAATGGATGTAGTTACGGCTTATCTATATGGTTCACTTGATAATGAAATTTATATGAAAATCCCCGAATGACTTAAAATGCATGAAGCAAATAAAATCTCAGAAAATGTATTCAATCAGATTACAAAGATCTTTGTATGGTTTAAAGCAATCTGGGCGTATGTGGTATAATCACCTCAATGAATATTTTCTTAAAGAGGGTTACATAAATGATGTTATTTGTTCATGTATTTTTATAAAGAAAATGGCATCAGAATTTGTTATCCTTGTTGTTTATGTTGATGACATAAATCTTGTTGGAACTCCAGAAGAGCTCCAAAAGGCAATTGAATATCTTAAGAAAGAATTTGAGATGAAAGATCTTGGAAAGACAAAACTTTGTCTTGGTCTGCAAATTGAACATTTAGCAGACGTGATCTTTATCCATCAATCTGCCTATACAGAAAGAGTCTTAAAATACTTTTACATGGACAAAGCACACCCATTGAGTACACCAATGGTTGTTCGATCACTTGAAGTGAATAAGGATTTGTTCCGACCTCCATAAGAGGATGAGGAACTCATTGGTCCTAAAATACCTTATCTTAGTGCAATTGGTGCACTTATGTATTTTGCTAATGCTGCAAGGCCTGACATAGTATTTTCTATTAATTTACTACCAAGATATAGCTCTTCTCCTACACAGAGACATTGTAACGGGATTAAGCATATATTGCGATATTTAAATAGAACACTTGATATGGG